GAACTGGAATTATTTCGTCCAATCGACTGATCATTCACACATCCAGTTGTAGACGTTCCAGGTTATATTTCCCTTTAAGTGAAGTCGTTATTTACGAGAAACAGTGTTTTTAAACGTTACCGTTGCTAACACGTTCTCAAGGGAAAGTTTCTTGTTTTATAATCTCGACTCCAATAGTAATCGTCCTCCACCGATATTTCACGTTTATTTTTCAATTTCGGTTAAAATGGCACAGTGTTCAGCTGTGGTCACTATGACTGATGGTTATAAATCACAAACAATACTGAATGAAACTCAGAGAGATAAACTATTCACATTCTTCCAAATTTAGCAAAAATTGAATTCGAAATGGACAACCATTCGCTACAGTTTATTTTTCTATCGTCCTACACCGCTGATTCCTCGGTAAACGTCTGAATAAACGCATGCAGTTCATCAACTTGTGGTAAATGTTTTCGCCCGTAAATCACAAAATGAACCGAATATGAATGATACAGGGCTAATTTTAAACCTTTTACGATGCTCCCCCTAAAAGCACCATATTGTCCCTAACTGAGAGATCATGAACATAGTAACCTGATTGAATCGGTTTTTTTATAGGCCGCGGATCGAAACGTCTCACATCCGCAAACTCCTCATATTTGAGCACGAAATGAATTATTCATCAGCAAGTATACCGAAAGATTGATATGAACAGGTCTAGACTTTATGCTCCCCAAAATGTATGCCATCGATACGGTTATGCGAGCATTGTAGTTATGACAAGTTCAGGTTCGTCAACGGCTTTTATTGATCGAACGAGTGAAGCAATAACCATCCCAAACCTGTCATAAATCATTTTTGTTAAAATATGTGACTTTTCGAGTGAAACGCAACGATATAAGCCATCTTTAATTATCCCCCACTTGTTTCCCAAAGCAACTGCTTGATAAGAAAACTGGCTGTTCACCGTTTCCTCGGTCTTAGTCATTTCGTTTATGTCTTATCACACATCCGTCAGTCGTTAAATACAACTGTTCGTGGTTTGGTGAAAAATGAAAACGCGGTAATGATCCATATAGGGGGTTTCAGTGCTTAGATTCACCTCGAGTCCCAAACCCCGATAGAACATAAACGAGACACGCTGTTGTGAAGCCCGTTTACTTCACTGTAGAAGAATCCAGCCCGTTTAGGTTAACTACACCCGAATGCATACCACATAACGGTCGCCTGGGTCAAGATCACTAACGCGATATTTGTGTTTGAGCATTATTAAAACAAATTATCTTCGGTAATCAGTATGAAAAAGGAAAGCAGGTTGCACACAGTTGTTGTAAAACTTTTCAGAAAAGGGGGGGAACTTGTATACCCGTAACAGACATGTTTCTATGAAAATGAGCTATTGGTTGAACTTTATACACGTGTATAATCCCAGTTGGATTAACATAAAAATTCCTTTAGGTGCATTTTTCCCGAGGAAATTTAATTAACTGCATTAGCCTGATGTTTTTACCCACAAGCCGACTGACTATTCCTTGTCCACGCATTCCTCCGCATACTGGTTTAACAACGTTTGCTTTGGCAACCAACCACATTTTCCATACTGGGGAAAATGTTCCATGAGAGAGGCAGAAATATTCCGGTGGTCGAGTAAGAAAAATTTGTTCCAATGAGAGATGCATGTAGAATTTCGTGGTCATGCTAATTAAATTTTCGCCCAAAATGTCCTCCGGAAAAACAAACAAATTGAGGTTGGCGATTGAATTGAAACATTTGTTTTGATTTTGTCCACATAGGGTCTGTGAAGACGTTTCCGGAGCATCGTTTGATAAGAAAATGTTTGCGTTACAACCACTCGAATAGAGGACATGGAGGTAGACATTATTACTTAGTTACTCGATGCTGTAAGACTTGATCAACCATGGACAGTTGCCCCGAAAAATGAGTAAAACTATTTCGATTGGGACAAGTGTTAATACCATTCTAGTTTCTTGTTCAACTCTAAAACCAAAATATGAAATAATTTAAAATTATTTCAGTTTTTTGATAATTTCAAGCATTACCTTAGTTCCTTCGCAACGATTACTCAATACAGACGTGGGGATTAAACTGTACTTCACGTTGACCGCGAACAAACTACTCTCGTTACATAGGTCTGTGTGGGTGTGTGTGCGCGCAAGTTTAGATGGAACCTAGAAGGATGCATTTAATTCATTCACTCGTAAACCCCAACAGTTGCGGGTACACGGTTTCACTCCTAAAGCGTACAGCTGCAGTTCCTTCACGATTGGTCGCATTGGGCATTACTTACAAGCAGATGCTTTTCTTGTCTCATAGGGTGTTTACACCAATGGAACTGTAACAATGGCGAATAAAATTCTATATGTTGTGTTATATGTGCTCATGGATGTTGGAATGGAATGTGTGTTATTCATTCATCAAGTTTTACATTGAAATAATCAATCGTCGTTGCAAAAACGGCATGAGGTGGTGAGGAATTCCAGATTGTGCACTCTGACAGCGAAGGAATGACGTCGACAGCCCAGTCGAGATTTCTGGAGTGCTAACTTGAATGGATATCTCCGTAGATAAACGTTTGATGACAACATCAAGAGTGAGCAACAAGGGTGATTTGGGTTGTGTAATATTTGGTGCACTAAAATCAAGTCTCCTTGAATCCGACGGTACTGAGAAGAGTTTTGGCCCAATGACTGATATCTTTCCATGTATAAATCATAATAGAGTCCTGTGACCATCTTCGTGGTGAGTCATTGTGGACGCTCTAAAATCTTACGATCATGTTGTAATCATGGATTCCAGGTTTGGATGGTATACTCAATACGCGGCTGGATGTATAGTGACATGGGAATAAAGATGGTTCAGAACGACCAAAACACGTCGACGTAAAGTGACAGTTTTGAGTACGATGAAAGACTCCCTGGCGCAGTTGATAGAACAGCTCTGGTCTTCATGTACTCCTATAACACCCAAGTCCTTTTTTTGATGGATGCGGCAGTAGTTCGTTTCCGAAGAAATAAGGAAACCGACCATAGTGGCGTTGTGAAATCACCTTGAATTTTGAAACGGTAACTTGAATCCCGTTCTCAATAGATCATTTGGGAGCTGCATTTAATGTTTCTTGGAGTTTCAGCAAACTCCCACCTTCTCTCACTGTCCTCCAGATTTTGACGTCATCTAACAACAGTGATATCTGTGATCCTAGGACATTCAGTAAGTGGTTTATGAACAAGAGAAAAAGTCAAGGATCAAGCACAGAACCCCGTGGGGGTACTCCGCGGGAAACGCGATAGGGGTGGACAGTGAATTGGAAGCTCGAACCGACATGGTCCGTTGCTGGAGAAACGCAGCAATTCAGTCGCGGTCTGTGATACCAAAAAAACGAAATAAGAAGCATCGGGCATCACGCACATTTTCTTTGACCCCGATACCATTTTATGTTTTAAACAAACATTTTTCGAAAAGTCAAAATTGGTAATTTTCCCTCCGTTAAAAATTAATGTATTGTGCTTACTGCGTTGAATGTAAATACAGCTCGGGTAGTGGATGTAGATCGAGGAGATCCACAGGGATCCGTGCTGAGCATTCAACTTTTTTTGTTTTTATAAACTACCTAAAGGACATTCTGGGGTCACAAAATTGAATGTTTGCAGACGATACAAAATATGGAAAATAGGAACAAAACCAGAAGACTCGCTAGCACTTCAGAGAACATTTAATGCTGCTTATCAATGTTTGATTGAAAACGACAGGGAATTTAATGCATCAAGCTGTTTGATCGTATCCCTTCACCACAAACTCGGTGTCCGTACTTCCTGGAAGATAAATCACTTCCGTATAACTCGAACGGTTGTTGTGAGCCCACATTCAACTCCACATAGTGTGCAATTCAAGCGTGAAATCCGTAGCTGCAAAGCGATCGTAAGAATCTGGAACGTCCACATGACCACATAAATAGTGAAGAGACTGCATTCCAAGACTTACGCGTGAAGACTGAAACCACTGAGGCTGTAGTCCACACAGTGTCATCGAATTCGAAGGGACTTGAGTTTGTTGTATCAAATAATGCAGAACCCCGATCACTGTTGTCGCCCAACACTCACCTGAGGGGGAACTCATTCAAATTAGTGCTCCAAAAAGGTCGACTAGAATGCCGGAGGCATTTATTCGCCGTCAGAGTGTGCACCACTTGAAATTATCTACCACTTCACGGTCTTTCTGCTCTCATAATCAATTTTGTCAAGCACTAATTGGATAAAAATTTGTCAAGTCTTAAATGTTTGCATCCGTATCAGTGCACGAACCAAGGATGAACTGTAACATTCCTCATATTTCTGTGAGCCGTGAATGGATTTGACAGTGCTAAACCCCTATGGGACTAGAAAACCAACCTGCTTGCGTAAGCATTTCCCATATTAAACATTTGAATTTAAATTTGACAAAGCGAAATTGTATGGAATCGCAAGATCTGTTTCGCTACTCGTTTCGATCATCACTTGCACTCATTCACTACTCGACTACGAAGTGTTTAATGTATGCTTACTTGAAACGTGGAACTGACTCGGATGGTTTTTTCATGGAATCGTTTACAAAACATCGCTCACATTCAGAGTGCAATTACCGTAATGGACGAACGGAGATCCATGTGTAGATAAGTGGCGAGATTGATTATGTGCTTTGATCAACTTTTTCCGAATGCTATAAATGGAACTCAGCCTAAATCAACATGAGTGAGTATGTGCGTGTGTGGGTTTGTGTATGTGTACGTATGTGCAGTTAGCAGGCGATTCAGAACCATTACAATATGATTAGGCTACTGCTTTGATCGTCTCCCAATACCCATTTGGGGGAATGCTTACCTATGATGAAGATCATTACCTATCTTCAGCAAATTTCATGATTTGCAGCAATTCATTTAATGTTTGCCTGATTGGAACAAGCATACGATCCAGCACAAACTGTGTCCTCAGGCTCTCAAATTCCCATTGGACGAGGAAACTTACTGAGAAAATAGACAGGAGCGTTTCTGTGAAATGTTGGCAGTTGACTGATCTCGGAGAACTGTGAGACTTTGAGAATGAAATCCGATCCGCTTTTCTGATCACTACAATCCAAAAGCAAACGCCGTTTGGTTTCTGCGCTCAGTTGACACTCATTGTATTCCTGTACACTGTGAGTCTGGAGATCAATCCACATAAAGCAAGAGGGGAACAGATAGAACAGGAATGAATTATTCTTTTCTGTGGTTTGGGAAATAACCTACGTCAAGCGGTAATCTGAGACCGGTACATTTGGGTTTATACAGAGAATATGTGACTGTTTCAGTTGAGCTTTTCTCCTCAGTAAATCGCTTTAACGGTGTCTGAAAATAGTGGTATTGCATTAGTTGTTTACATCTACAGTCCGCCTTATCTGCACTGCGGAACATTTTCAGCAAAATGCGATTGACCATTCGAATAGCCACCGCTTCTCTCGGACTGAATTGGATAAGATTCCAAACTGGCTGATGGTAATCCCTTCTCCCTCGATCTCTGAACTCCCGATGAGGCAAGCCATTATACTCCCTCCTCTCCCCCACCCACAACAAGTCTAAGTGATTTTAGGATGAGATAAAATCTCTGGCTATATGAAATACCCGCATGATTAAGTGTCACAAACCTAAACTACAATACATCATATACACACATATAGATACAACCATAAACGTTTGCACCCGGGAAAGTCCACAAGAAGATATTATCAAATAATAAGCGTACAGTTGCGTCCATAGGATGTAAGCAGTTTTTCCTCAAATGTGGTCTACTGTGTCTGGTATTTTAGATACGAAAATTAGTTTAGAGTAACAAGCTTGGATTAGTCCATTCGATTGTTCAGAGGCACCAGGCAGACAAATAGTTGTTGTCTGTTTAGTCACGTATTGAAAATGGGTCACAGAATGTGTGAATAAACCTCTACTCCTTAGTCTCTGTCATAAGTAAGTACGAGTTTACAACTCTCCAATCACGGAATAACTTTGTTTTGATCCATTGAAGTTATGCATGCCTGAGAGAATAAGAGCCTGATGCCATTTCCATCCACTGGAGGTACTTATTCACCTAATACCCATGCCAGAAGACATCAAGGAAACCCGGTGTTCTTCATTGTAAACATGTTGAGGCAACCTAGCACCCATCCGGATAGGGAACCAGCGTGTAACATGATATTTTACTTTTGTATTGTATTGTATTCAAACTTTAGCGAGTTATATACAAGCTTTGAGCCAAAAAATAGATCACTGTTACAATTCTGGTAAAATCAGTGGAAAAAGTTGGTAATGAAACGTACAAAAATTGAGTTGTTTGCTAAATGCATTAGAAAGCTCAGAACGCACACTTTCGTTGTCGGTCAGTATTCAGGCAAGATAGGATACTAAACAGTTTCTGTATGCGGATATGCGAGACGAGATAAGTTTGTACTTGGAACGGGCGGAGGGGTGGGATTCGTTTGCACACAGCTCAATGTGTAGAGGATGGGTGCAATCAGATGGGATATTGTCAGCAAACTTCAAGCACCCAGCGAGATAGGCATTACACATATTGCCAATCAGAACAAATAACGGAACTTGGGAGACACGGCTAATTATTGAAAGGCCACGCCTCAGCAACTGGAAATCAGCCTTAAACAAACCAGGGAAAATTACAGGAGAGCAATAAAGGGGTATAGAGGGGACACATTGTTGAACGAAATAGTTTATCACCGACGAGTCAGAACAGAATTGGCGCAGTCTCCTGATCTGACAAGAGAGACTTTTCAACTTGCGTGCAACACTTCGGGTATGTAAGGACCAGCGAAGGTTACTTTCGAGTGGGACTCCTAAGTACTTTACATGGCTGACCCTACCTGTCGGTTTTCCATGAATCTGGAT